CACCAGCAGCATCACCAGCAGCATCAGCACCAGCACCAGCACCAGCACCAGCACCAGCACCAGCACCAGCACCACCAGCACCACCACCACCAGCACCAGCACCAGCACCAGCACCACCAGCACCACCACCACCACCGCTACCCGCCACCGCCCCCGTCCCCGCCCCCGCCCCCGCCCCCGCCCCCGCCGCCGCCGCCGCCACCACCACCGCCACCGCCACCGGACGGTAAGCCCTACCGCAAAGCCTAACCCTCTATCACAACACCCAGTCTCAAACCACAAACCCGAATTTCCAATACCAAGCCTGCTTGATGAGCTTGACTATTCGCTGAAGTTCCCTCATAGCCCTTACACAATTATAGTAGCTTATACCCGGAAATTTGATTTGCACTGTGTACCCCCTGCCTGAAGTCAGGAGATTGTCGGGCGTTTGGTTCCAGATCCTGCGCACCTCTTTGCGGGCATCAAAGTGGCTTTGGCAAATCAAGTGACTGCAAAAAATTGCGCTTGTGGGGCTTGGAAGTTGAGCCCAGGGAGCCAAGGCATGATGCCCCCTTTCAGTTTGAAGTTGAAGTAGTGTTCAGGTTTGAGCCCTTATGAACACTCATGCTGTGGAAGACCTTATAGCGCCTAGCATATCACCCCCACCAACTCAGTCTGCATCCTACAGAAGACGTTTTTGAGGGGTCCGAAATAGCCGGGGTTCCCCAAATTACGGGTGCCTGTCTGGGGATCCCGATGAAAGGGATGATAGTCACTTGCCGTCAATATTTACTTGAATCCCCTATTCTGGAAAGTACCACTTGAGGTGATTGAATTTGTCGCGCCTGGTGATTTGGCCGTGCAGCTGACAGTTGATGCCGGGAATCTGTGGTTCAAGACTCTGGCGGCTAACTATCATCCGCTTTCATCTGCAGAGACTGGGTTTGTGTAGGAACCTGTATGTCTTTTCCGAAGTATGTTACAAAGATGTTTACAGATCCCATGCTTTCACTGAGAAGGACTGATCCTAAGGATGTGCTGCTGCCCCATGCAGGGCGCTTGGTAGTGCGGAGTGGTTACCCACGAAGTGGCTGCAGTACTATGCTGGTCAGCTCACAGGCTTCATACTTCCTTAGCACTGCGGTATGTGTGGAGCCGCATCCCGCGGATGCAAGCAAGGCGCCGCAACATGGAAAATGATGCCCTTCAAAATGGGGGGATTCCATATAAAGGGGAACCCTAATATAGACCCCAAATACACTAATCCTTCTTATGCGGACCCCCAGAAAAGGTTTGTTAAGTTTGGGAAACCTCCTAACATGGAGGCCTTGACGTCAACTCCTAAGCCTGATAGGTTGTCGTTGGTTTGACAAAGCCTTAGTCGTATTTTAAATGGTGTTGTCGTTTCTTTGTTTTTTTTTGTGGGTGGGTGGTCTCGGGCTCTGCTCTCTAATCCTTGGAGCCTATCACTCCATTAATTCGGTCTGAATCCTAAAACTGACACTTTAAGCCATAAACGCTTCATTCTCCGTGCAGACGCTCGTTTCGCGATTTCTGGCAGCGCCGGTAGACGTTGCACATTTCCGTGCCTGAGAGACCCAATGGCATTTCTGTTGAATGATTCCCGCTTGGGTCTGGGATTTGGGCGCGCTGCTACGCATGCGTTGGGTGGTTATGTTGAGCTTGAGTGCACTCCACTGCGTGGGAGTTCCGAGGCAGTAGAGGAGGGCTATAAGCCAAGGATGGCCAAGGCTAACACGGAACCATTTTTTCCACGTTGTGCTGATGTGATGAGGTACGCAAATGTAGCTTGCACTGGGGGATCGAAATGTATCAGCCTTTAGCAATTCCAAGAGCCCAAGCAGCACTAGCACAAGAAAGCTGTAATTGGAAACCCCTGTCGGTTCTTGAATCTTAGATGACCCCACAACACGACGTCACCTTCTGATTGTAGAGAAGGCTAAATTGAATTTCTCTAAAACATGAGTTCTACTCAATGTAATCCTTGTAACCGGTTGCTAGGAAGGAGACGATGCACTTCCAAGGTGTGAAGCACCTTGCCAGAATGTCAGTGGCACGTGCAGGAACCGAGTGGTTCAGGCACGGGGGGATCTACATGTGTACATATATATATATATGTACATATTTATATGCCCCCGGCCGAAAGATCCCATTGAGAATGGTTTTGGGTCCCATATGCATGAGTTTTGTCTTATGTGGAAGCGGGTGAATGTGAGGAGCACTCAGTCAGGCAACACTGCGATAATGGCGTCTTACTTATTAAGTAAGGTACTAGTCAATAAGAGAATTTGTAGTCCGTGTCCTTGATTTCCTGTTTAAAACTACAGTAGCATACCAAATGTGTTGGACATTTAAAACGTAATATTCAAATATTGGATTCCTGAGGTTCTCTATGCAGATCCCTTACCAAAGAGCTTCAAGTTCAAAGGATAATTCTCAGGTATTTTGTGCCTGATTCCTTCAAACTCGAACTGACGCCAGCACTATGGTCGAACTCCTTCTTTTCATGGGATTTGCACAATCCTCTGCCTTCATTCTTCTTTCCTCGGCCTCGATTTCATCCATATCAGTTGCTCAGAGGAAGTCTGACGTCCTAGGTTCCTGAGTATACTTCAACCCGGTATCTTCTGTAAAATTGGATGGAGGTTCAGTTTGTCTGGGCTTGGATTCGTCCTATATATTTTTCTTGTATAAATCATTCTTGCAACGAAAACCAAATTCAAAGGATAGCTCTCAGATCCTGAGTTCCCAAGTTTCTTTGGAGAGCGTGGGTATATTTCAATGCTTTTGAAATTTCAACACCTCCTGATTATTCTTGATGCTTCTTCCGAAGGTTCTGGCAAGATTTTTCCCAAACCTGAGGAGGTACCAAGAAAAAGCAGCTTCGAAGTAAGAATCTTGCTCCAACTTGATGTGGTAGAAAAGAACAAAGTTGTGGAGGTCTTTGGGTTGAGAGGGTTTCAGAAATTCTTTTTTTTTGGTACTTCCCCAGGCTAATGCAAGGTTATCAAAGAAAATCTTGCCAAAAGCTGAGGAGGTACCAAAAAAAGTCGGCAACATGTCCGAGTGGAACCCTAGACCCTAAACCTTTCTTTGTGGCTACTTGCGCAAGTTTTGCAAGTTTAATACATACACCAAAAAAACGCGAGGCCTTGGCCCTGAGGACCTCCAAAACTGTGTGTTCGTGCGCGTGTTTTTAATGTTCTTTTGGTCCATCCTCAGGGCTTGGCAACATTTTCAACCGAACGCTTTGTTTTGTTGGTACCTCCTCAGGTTTTGGCAACATTTTCGACGGGACACATTTTTTTTGTACCTGCTCAGGTTACTGCAAGATTTCAAGGAAACGTTTATCAAAACCTTGGTAGGTGATACAAACATCCAAGCGTGCAGGCACTAGTCAACTACCGGATGCCGGCTGTCGACTAAACACATCTTGAGAACACGACATTGTTATTTGCAGCAGATGTATTTATTATGAAAGTTAGCAAAAGCAATGTTATTCACACTGCTTTTAGCTTCTCGGGATGAGGATATGATGTGCTTGTAAGTAAGAGAATTGATGCAAGACCTTTCAATATGGATCTTGGGGGAATGACTACGTTTGTATAGATTAATAGTACGGCTAGTACTACTACTAGTACTACTACGACTACTACTACTACTACTACTAGTACTACTAGTACTACTACTACTACTACGAGTACTACAACTACTATTACTACTACTACTACTACCACTACTACTACTACTACTGCTACTGCTACTGCTACTGTTACTGCTACTGCTACTGCTACTACTACTAGTACTACTAGTATTGTTATGATTACGGTATGTGGTCAGCGTTTAAGGTTCACGGATGTTCAGGGCCTCAGGCTAAGCGTTTCATGGAGGTGTTCTCTTTCTCAAGTTGTGTGGCGTTTTGCCTCAAACCTTTGGCAAGTGTGTCGGGTTTTACATGAACTCACACATGAACTGCTTATTTGGCCTTTGGCTAGCTAGGGATGAAGGAAGGGATCCTTATAGTAGTCCCTATATAATCCATTATAGTAGTTTGTCTTTTCTTTTCCATTCCTTTTAAACCCTAAACGCTATAGTAGTTTCCATTTCCTTTTCCATTCCTTCTAAACCCTAAACCCTATGATAGTTTCATTTTCTTTTCCGTTCCTTCCAATCCCAAAACCCAAAAGCCGCCACCTCTTTATATAACTAGTTAGGATTGGCTGGCGCTGGTCGATCGCTCAGCGAGACCCAGAGAAGGAGCCCTTGCTGAGCGGGCCTCCAGGCTAGCTCCCCCTCTAGTGTGCCAGAAATCGATTGGCGCAAAACTTTTGATTGTCCGTCTGGGGGCGGTCTGGGGGGTCAAGGGCCCCGTCTGCAAGCAGATCTGGGACCGGGAGAGCTTGGTGCTTGACAGTAGGAGGCCGTTGCCCAAAAAAGTGTCACTGCCAAAAACAAACGTGCAGGGAGGGAGCCTCTGATGGGGCCTCGCAGGGCTTCCAGGAACTTCTCAAGATTCCCAGAGACCTCCTGGGGCCTTTCAGGGCCTTCTAAAGGCTTCCCAAAACCTCCCAAAATCCCTGTCAGCTCTCCAGAAAGTTTGCAGGTTTTTTTTTCAGGGGCCTCCAGTGCCTTTTTAACCCAGCCGCCGGAGGGAGCTAAATCCATGAGCGGGCCCTGCTTCCCAGATGTCCCCAAGCGTCAACCCAAGAGAGTAGCATTTTATTTGGGGATACTATGGTACCCAATATAGAGTAAGATTATATCCTCCTTTTGGGTATAGTATTTTCTATAAGGAATATTATCTTACTAGGTTCAACCACAAAAAGACACTACTCAAGAGTCTTTTTGATACCCTGAGAGTTGTAAATGGGTGGTCTTGGGGTGGGCAAGTCTGCAGACTAACGCGCGCTCACGCAGCGCGCTTCTGCTTGGCGCTCCCTAAAGCCTAATGTAGTTTCCATTTTCTGTTCCATTCCTTCTAAACCTTAAACCTTAAAACCCTCTAGTAGTTTCAACGTTCTTTTCCATTCGTTGCCAATCTTAAATCCTAAGCCCCAAAGGGTTCAGATTTTAGGGTTTAGGCCTTCATTTTGAGAATATTACCCAAGCCCTGGATCCTGAACCAGAAATCTTCGCAGTCCCAAGGCCTTATAGGCATGAGAACCTTAATTACCTAAGCTGTGGATTCTGGATTCTGAGCCAGAAAACTTCGAGGTTCCAAGGCCTTGTATTTTGGGTTTCCAGTTCAGGTTTTTGCTATCCGGAATCCATGCAGCGCTATACTGTAGATGACGAGGTGGCTGTTCGATGGTGACATGTGCACGGCCCGCGAAGCCATGAAGGGCTTCTATGTCGTCCTCTCCTTGCCGCTGGGATCGCTGGGTCGTTAGTGAACATGCGAAACGCCAAGATGTTGTGCCCACGAAGACAGCTCAAATGTTTAGCTCCGGTATGTGCCAAAACCACAAGTTCTTCATACCGCCCAAATACTGTCTTTGATGCGACAATCGACCTGCCGCATTCTGGCACATGCCCACGTTCCGACATCGGGATTCCCTGAGTTGGCTTGGCCCTATGTACCCCTGTGCTAGCATGACTCTCATTACATGAGTCTGTACATACAATTCAACAAAATTCTTAAACGCAAAGGCATGCACAATCTCTATATATCTCCCATATTCGATTGAAGCCCGCCAAATCGTTCGGCCCCTAGACAGTAAGCCCTGAACCCCGCGGCTTATCATTAAACGCCTAAACCTAAGCTGGACAATATTTCCATATTGTTGAGGGTCATCCCTGCAGCTGTATTATCCCCGGCAATGAAGTCGGTTCCCTGTTATTTCTAAGCCCAAAAACTCCCAGTTTCCATCTCATCTTCCATTTGCTTTTCCCATTCCCCGCTAGCAACCCGCAAAAAGCCAGTCATAACCAGATAATACCGACGGTCAGTATAGTTGCGATGATGCGTAGCACTGGTGTTTTGCTACAGGAACTTAAGCCCCAAATCCCGAAATCATCCCAGCTTGCATTTCATCTTATATTGTCGTGACCATTTCATTCTCTGCGATGCGGATCCCTAAGCGCTAGACAGTAGTTTGCGTTTGATATTCCACTTCCCTTCAATTTGGTTCTCCACGCTTCTACAAAGAGGTGTAGGTACATACCTAGTCACCAAAGCAAATAAGCCCACTGAATGATCCACTTTCCAATTATTGTTCCATCTGCTCTTCCATCTTATTTTCCCAGTGTTGGGTAAAATACCTATTCCTTCTATACCGCCTATTTAGCCCTATAAGCCTGAGCCCTATACCAAGGCCCCCACCCCTGCCAGAATCCATTCATTTTTCCATGTTCTTTGCCAGGTGATTCTCTATTCTTATGGCTTAGAGTCTAGGGTTTAGGGTTCAGGGTATATCCCAGTCCAAAAAGCCCTCAAGGCAAGATTGCAGCTTCGGTGGTCCTTTGCTACCTCGCGTTGCGGGCGCGGAGCCCTTTGATGCGGAGACCTGGGAACGCGTAGGACCTTTTCGGCTTTTGGGGCTTTGCGTGTATAAACCCTAAACCCTAAAGGCTTTATAGTGGGGTTGACAGAGCCTTGGGTCGACTTTGGGAGTGCGATGGGCTGTTTTTAGTGTGGAGGGTTATTGCTTTGGAGGCGTGGGGTTTAGGATAAGCATATTTTTGCAAGTTTGCATGTACCCGGACCCTCAACACACAAGGCCTGAAGAAAAACAAGATTGAGCGTAGGAGCCGATGTGTCCTTTGCTGCTTATTTGCAGAGTTTTCTGCATCTTCTGGACCTTGGCGCGGCGAAGGTCATGTCGCGGCTGATTCCATAAGGGGACTGGGTAAAACGGTTTAGGCGTATGGCCTGGGTCTTTCTTTAGGGCTTGAGGGTTTGGGTTTGGGGGCTTAGAGTTTAGAGGGTTTAGGTTTCTCGGTTTTCAGGATTTGAGATGTGCAAGTCAAAGTCCATTACACTTCTGCAAATTTGAGTTCTGTAGGATCCGAGCCTTGCACCTGCAAACCCTTGTTTCGCCCCGGTCTTACATTGCATCCTTGCATGCCCAAATCCATCTCATCCTTGTGCCAGTAAAACCAAATTTGCCCCAAACTGCCCAAAAGCATGGGAAGGTCTTTTCGTCCCTCGATGGCCAGCAGCTCGTTCCTAGCCAGGCCATACTCAGGAGGAAGGACTGGGAACATGTGCGGCCTGTGTTGCTCCCAGTATCTGGGCAAGTGCCGAGTATCATTTTAATGTCTGAGCTGCAGGCGGTGCCAAATAAGTATATGCTTCGTTTCCAGAGAATGTATTCCAGATCCGAGGTGTTCCAAAAGGCTTGCATTGCTTACCGAAGACTCTTGCCCAACGGCACAGTGGAGTTGCCAAAGCTTGCCGAGAACGTGCCTGCAACCTTCAGCCATGTGTGTGATGGGAGCCTTGGTGGCGTTATGACCCGGTCGCGTTGACTACTACTGCAGCTGTCGGTGTGGCTTGCTCTACGGCTCTCCTCTGTCTTCTCCTACTGTTATCAGAATGCCTATTAATATTGCTGCTGCTGCTGTTGCTGCGGCTGCGCCTGCCACCGCCGCTGCCACCGCCACCGCCACCGCCACCGCCACCGCCACCGCCACCGCCACCGCCCCCGCCACCGCCACCGCCAC